CAAGTTTCTCATGCGGACTCTAGTTGAGATACTAATTAAGCTCAACATTAATAACAACAAAGCCTAAGATAAGATGACAGAGATCTCTTCTCTCTTAATCAGAGGTCTCGAGTTCGAGTATTGAATATAAAGTCTCTTTAAACATTCGGAATGGAACAATTTGCTCCCTTTATAGATTTGTCCGGTGCGAATCCAGATTAGTCGGACCACTGAATGATTAAAAATCAAAAAAGCTCAACAGGGGTTAGTAACATCTTATGCTTCAATTAACAAAAAAAATTAAAAGAAAAGTAGCAAATCTCTGTTTTATTAGGAACGAAGTTATTTTGTCTAATAACAAAAGGAATATTAATAGTCATTTGGAAAAAAAAAAATTTACTTCCTTCGTCCTAAAAAGATAGTCCATTTTTTTTCACATAGATTAAAAAATTAAAGTTATTATTATTACTGCACAATTTTGTTATTATAACTTTTCTATTATACTTATCTTAAATAACACACCAAAAATTAGTATATTGAAATAATAAAAACTATATTAATAATATAAAATGGAAAATACAAATTGCAATTAACGAGAGTGACCAAAATTATTGTATTTTTAAAATTCAAGAGGAAAAAAAAAAAGAAGAGTAAAGCTATTTATTAAATAATATATGAATTTGAAATTTGAAATTTGGAATAACGCTGTCTTCAAAAAAGTAATGAATTAATGAAAATTACTTTAATGAGGGCATAATATATAATTTAAAGATTAACTATAATGTAAGAAAAGTAAGTAGATTATATTTTTGAACAGACTAATATGAAAAGATAAACTATTTTTTTTAGACCAAGAGAGTAAATAATTATTTAGATAAATGACCAATTAGGATGTCTATTGAACATCGACTCTTAATTAAAATTTTTATCAAATAAATTTAATACAATTATTGAAAAAAAAAATATAGAAATCAACTAGCAGAAACATGAAATGATAGCTTTAACAATATGTCTCAATAATTTAGAGACAATGACATAATGCATGGTGACATATTGGGTTGCTGTGTGGTGCCATGTCTCTATTAGGTCTAACCCATACTACTGGAAGCCAAGTCAGCCATATCCCTTGAAGCTGTTATTCAATCTGACACTCAAACTCATTCTCCAGCAGAACCCGAATCCAATTATGAAGTACCTGAATCCATATGTAAAATATCCCAATTTACAATTTACCATAAATCCGATTTTAATTATCCGTTTAAACATTTGTTTAGCATTATTTTTTATTTTTTATTTTCCAAAAATAAAAAGTGAAAGGTGTATATATAAAATTTTTCTTTTAAAAAAATTATTTTAAATATTTTTTAAATAGTTATTAAACAGGTAGCTTTAACTTGAACCCAATACGAATAGTATTTGAACTCATCTCAAACTCGTTTATTCATTATTCAAACCCGTTAAATTCCTGATAATATTCATCTAAGGGCATGTTTGGAATTGCCAAAATACTAAAACCCAATTTTACAAGTTAGAGTCGATACATTTGCACATAAAATTTATAAATGTAAAACAAGTGCATTAACAATGAGTATAAAGAAAATCACGTAGAAATAAGTAGGGGCGGAGCTACAGCCATCCACCATCCTAGTAGGGTCAATTGGCCCTACACAAATTGAAAAAATAAAATAAAATCTATATTATATACTTCAATTAATTTTGGAAAAAATTTTAAAGTAATTAATTTATGGAAATTTAAGAATTTTCATCATCTAATTAACCCCGATGAAAATTAATAAAAAAAATATCGAATTTGAAAGTTCATTAGGTAAATTTCATTAGGTAAAATATCGAATTTTAAAACTTCTAACTTTATTTAATAATTTGTTTATCATAATCATATTCATACCGTAACTCAAACATTTACCCGTCTCACTCTCTTATAGAAGTTCTTCAAGATTTTACTTCTTTGAATGACCGCTGATCATTTTTTTTTTTTTTTTTTGATTTTTACTTCTTTCGAATGACGCTGATCATTTTTTTTTTTTTTTGTTCGCAAGCTGTTATCTTTGTTTTTTTCTTTCTCTTGAATTCAATTTTAATTTTTCTTTATCAATAATTTGAAATTTTGTATCTGGTTTGAAACAGATTTTTGAATTTTATTTAATTTGAAATTTTTGTATTGGTTTGAAACAGACATTTTTGAATTTATTCTCTCAGGTATATCTTTTAATTAATTTAATCTTAATATTTTCATTAAAGCGCCTCTTTAAGTGATGAGGTTAATTTTTTTTTTTTTTTTTTATCCTCGTAGTGGGGTTTTATTTTGTTTACTCTCCTTTTGCGAAGTTGTGAGAAGTTTTTAGGTTTTGTTTTTGATTTGTTCTTTTTGACTATTTGAAATACCAAATGAGTTAGTTACATATCTTCACGTTCGAGTAATGATCTTATACTAATAGAGTTTGATAGTGCGATCTTCCCTACATTATGTTTGATATTTTAAACTCTTTTAGGAGTTTTAGATGTAATAAGTTTCTAAAAGAACAAAATCTGGATAATATTACAGAAAGTTTTTTTTGTCCTCTAATTTAAAAATAGATCAATTTTTACCGAAAAGATTAATCTTTTCCTGTAAGATCAACTTTAAACAAAAAATATTAATTTTTTATTTGTATTTCTTATTCCTATCAAAATATAATTATTTACTCATCTTATATTTTTTATTAATGAATTGCCATTTTTTAAAAACAAAATGATATAATAACTTAAAGGTTCCTCGCAAGGTTGGTCGTGGAGGGTGAGCCAAGGCCTAAGATCAGGCCAAAAGTAATTGATGTACAACAAATGAATATTCCTTACTATTATAAATGTATAAAAGATTCAATATGATATATAAATTTTCATTTCTTTAAATAATGCATATCAAAATTTTAAATTTATTCTATTTAGTTAATTAAATATTAGTTAATAATATTATTACTATTATTAGTGTTATAGTAATTATTATTTATTTTAGAAAGTAATTTACATTATTTTAATTTGATTATTATTATTATTTTAAACCATCAGTATCCGGACCTTATAACGAGGGATCGCCTAATTCGGTTCAGAGTTTAGTCACAATTAAAACTCTTCGCCCCCTCCCTGCAGGTGCGTTTAATAAAAATCGAACTTGAGAATCTTTCCATATATTTAGCCTGCGTTGCCAACTAAGTAAAAATCACTAAATTAATTTGATTATTATCAGTAAATTATAAATAATTTGTTAGTCCATGAGGATTAAATTTTATTTCAAAGTAAGTTTTATTTTAAATTACAATTCTAAATTATGAAGTTTTTTAATGACTGCATTAAAAAGTATTTTTAGCTCTGCCATTAGAAATAAGACTTCCTAATCATGATCAAGATATGAATACGATAGAAGAATTTATGTCTTGAGACAAAAAAAAAAAAAAAAAAAAAATCTTGAGACAAAAAAAAAAAAAAAAAAAAATTATCAATGGATTAGGGATATGTATTAGCTTTTTCCCCTCATAAGAAATCATATTTTGAATCAAAGGTGGAGCGGTAAAATATAAAAAAAAAAAAAAAAAAAAAAAAATTATCAAATGGATTAGGGATATGTATTACTTTTTCCCCTCATAAGAAATCATATTTTGAATCAAAGGTGGAGCGTAATAAATGAAAAGAGGGGCACCATATATAGAGAAAACAAAATGTCATTTCATTTTTAAATGCATCAAAAATGATTTTTTTCCCTTTATTTTAATTGTAATAAACATCTATAAGGATTTATATTCCTTATTGTACAAATCCAAACCATATCTATTTATTTTAAAAAGCAAAATAAAAAAAAATATAATAGGACAAAGAGAGAAAATATGGGAGTGCAATATAATAAAAATAATGGATTTTTCTCAAATAATTTAGATATAGTATACATATAAATATAGGTTAGATAAATATCAAAATTTATTATAGAAGGGGTCTTGCCCTTTTAGGCAGACAATGGTCTTGTTAGGCATTTATTTTATTGTATAAAATAAAAAACATAAAATGTTTAATAAAAAAGATGTTATACAAAGCACGAAACATAGACCAAGAATGAAAGTGAAAGGTGTCAAGAAAAGGAAATATGTGTAACTAAAAGAATAAGGAGATGAAGAAAAGAGGGAGAGAAAAAGGAGGAGAAACTATGGATGGGACAAATGTCCCCAAATATTCCAAAGAGGTCCACATCAAATCAAAAACCCATCTTGTAATGGAGGGAGGGACCCTAATTGCACTATGCATTGCTCTCAAAAGTATCATCTTAATAAGCATACCTTTCAAAAAGTATTATCTTAATTTGATGGTCACCACTCCTAATTAATCTTAGAATCTAAGGTAAAGGACAAAACTACATGTCACTAACATTAAAATCAGTTTTCTACCAAACATTTTCTTTGCCAACACGTTTAATTTCTTTGTTGCCTTAGATCTCTGTTTTTCCTTTATTCGTTGAGAGTTTAATTTCTTTGTTACCTTAGATCTCTGTTTTTTCTTTATTCGTTGAGAGTCCTGATGAGCCGAAAGCTACATCATAAAGGAGTCATTCTTTGAATTCGTAAAAATATTTATGGTCGAAAAAATTCGAACTAGATATTTTTCATTCCTCACATGATTGAGAAGACTAACCGAATCACATCTAATTAATATTGTTGTTTAAATCTCTTTGATTAGGAGGTGGTAATATAAAAGATAAATTAAAAATAAAAAATTTTATTTTTAATAGTAGACCCAAAATTAGGATAAAAAATGGAAAATTATAAAACAAATCATATTTAACATAAAAAATAAAATTTTGAGGTCAAACACACTTACTTGCATATGCCCATCTCCGTTATTGCTATAATTTTTTTTTTTTCTAATAAAGTGCGCTTCCGAAATTGAATTTGCTTTTACAGATATTGGTAGCTTTATTCTTACAGGAATTGGAGCCACGTACCCCAACACTGTGTTAGTTCCATCATTGTCTATTTTCATATTGGAAGCAAAAGAACATTTCCATACCAATTGCCAAATTCCTAAATAAATTTAGCCTTTCAAAAAAGCTAAGAACTACCTTCTTTTGCTATTGCATTACTAGCACAAATTCTTGGAATAGGGATTCAAGATAAACTAAGAACTAGAAATCTTTTTTTTTTTTCTTTTTTGACTTAATAATTTGACTAGAAACATTGATTTTACAACTTTTACTAAGAAAAAAAAAATACAATTTGCAAGAAAAAGATTCTTCATGGGTTTCTTCTCTCCATCCTTGATTGGCTTCTATGGATTCCAAGATGTCGTGATCACTTTACCCACTTCACAACCCCAACAGAATGTAGTACACAAGAGTTATGGGCAATGCAATTAGCATCCCAAATATAACACTACAAATTCAAAAGCAATAAGAAAAGATGAGAATATTAGATAAAACAAGTATATTAGATAAGGTGTGTTTGGATATAGAAATATATATGTACTCACCCTGTGCTAAGAATATCAGGGTGCACGTTATATTCCTTGGCAAAGACAAAGGGGACAATTCCTTGTGGTAAAGCTGCCTGTGTTTTATTTTATTTTTTCCAATCCAAACAAAACACAAGAGAAAAATGTGTTAGTAACAGTACATATATATGTTTGTAGCTCATTAATTATTAACCCCAAACAAGCCTTTCTTATTCCTTCATTAATCACTATTTACCTCACTATTCTTTTATCTTTTAAATTTTACTTTTTACTTTTTCTGATTTGAAAGAAAAAGGGTGTGGGTTTTCAAAATTTTTGAATAAAACATTTTTTTACTTTCTTTTTATAAATTTCAAGACTATTTACTATTAGCTTTTCCTCTATTAGATGTCTAATCGTCATTGCGCAAAAGATATTTTTCTCTTTTTTAATTTAATAATGAAAATTATCTCAAAATAAGAAATATATATTTAAAAAAAAAAGAGAAGATATTGTAATCTTGACCTTATATAAGAACGAATTTATCAGTAGTTGAATTTTAAAATTATATTGAGCTAGATAATATTATTAATATATTTAACTTATTCAATATAAATTTAAAATTTATAACTCATAAAAAAATGAAAAAAATTTGTTTGGTTCATTTGTAAATATTGCACTTGGCAGAAACCATCCAGTTCTGCAAGCTGCAAAAAAAGATTCAATGTCTTGTGCACTAGAACCCAAAGGTAAAAATAAATTCAACTGACAACTTAAAATTATTTAAATAAAAAAATCTTATCTTAAACAACAAAAAAAAAAATTATTATTTTTTCGAAGCAAGAACAAGTGAAAAAAAAATTGTGCTAGTTTAGTAGGATTGGTGTGTCAGAAAGAAGCAAAGAGGGAAGAAAGAGCAATGACCTGGACAATTGCAACGTGTAAGAGCGTTCCTCTAAGGCCAACAGCAATAGAAGCAGCTGCCATTACAGCTGGACCTGTAAGGAATCTCACAGCCATAGCAAAAGCTGCAATGGAATTTCCACATGCTATGATCCTCGGTTGCAAAGCCATGAACAGACCTGTCATCACCATCAAAAAGTTTGAGCATGCCCATCACTACCTCCACCACCAAAACTTGTCACCTGTCAGTACTGTTATTTAACCTACAATACTATACTATAACTCTTCTTTTCTCTTCTCTTTTTATTTTTTCTTTTATTTTTGTTTTTGAAAGACCTTTCATCATCACTCCCACTACTACCCATCAGCAAAAAAGTGAAAACAGGAATCAACACCATGATATTATTATCTTTCAATACTGTTGTTTTCTTGTTTCACTTTGCTTTGCATTGCATTTTTTGCAGACATAAATAATGAAAAGCAAAGGATTCTATTCAAAAAGATTCATTACTAAAACAAAAAGAAAAAGAAAATTGAGTGTTATGTACTGACCAAGACTGAACATGGCCATGCCAAGCCCTGCATCTGACAGAATAGAAATGGACTTTGCTACAATGGCAGGCATTTCTACATGCCACCTACATAAATTTGAAAAAAACAAAAATTTATAAAAACCCAGAAATCAAAACAGATTTTATAGACAAAATTGACTTAGATTGAAGATATTCAGGATCTTAATGAATTGAAAGAGACAGAAAAGGAAAAAATTAATACCTAAATGAAACTAGAGACCAAGTGAGACCAATTAGGCTTGAGTAAGTGTTTGGGTTTCTAATGAGTTTTCTCCAAACCATTATGAGTATAAGCCTTGTCATGACACTTGTTGGAGGCATAGTTTTGGGTTTTCCATCATCAATAACTTTCTCTCCTTGATGATGATTATTCATTTCTCTTTCTACTCCTCTATTGCCAAAGCTGAAATCTTCTCTTTCCATGTACTCCTCTTGATGATGATGATTCTCTCTTTGTCCTTCTACTGGAACTCCAACAACAAAAATAATAAAACTAATAAATATAAACTTTCAAGAAAGTGATAAAATTAAAATAGAAATAAAATATACCTTTTCCTGGAGAAACAGCCAATCTAACATCTTTCTGGTCATGGGAACCATAATCATGGCCACCAAACACATCCGAGACAGGAGAAGCACTAGAACTCCAAACAAACATATGGAGATCTCTACCACCGCCATCTTCACTTTTATGTTGAGCTTGACCATTGGGTTTCTTTACACCAACATTATTAGCAGTAACACCTTTAGACCCAGTTGGTGAAAACATGCCCGGATTCGGAGCTGGATAATGGGTTGCAATCCCAGCCCCTGCGGCGGCGTGGTAATGGAACCTTGGCTTGTTACCCAATCCACCGCCATCTTCTTCATAATTTGATGGCCTGGGTGTTGGTCCCCGTGAAGCAGACAGACCGTAAACATCTGAAGCACCAAAATTAGAGTTTCTACCAGCTGCCATCATTGAGTAAAAATCAGTGTGATTAAAACTAGAGCCTCTTGGTGTTGGGTTTCTGGATGATTGTAAAGAGTAAATCTCCGCATTGGTTAGATTTGATGGTCTTGGTGTAGTAGAAGATAAGCCTTGAGACCTTCTAGAGAAAATATCTGATCTTGAGGCATTAGATTTTCTAACAGTAACATGTAATTTACCATCTTCTTTGATTTCTGCTTCAGTTTCTAAAGGTTGTCTTCCATCAAGAGACATGATATCAGAATCAACATGGATGGAGACAATAGAACCAGCAGTGTCTGGAAACTGCTCAGAAATAAGCATTTTAGCACCTCTATATTCAAACATGAAAAGCATTAAAGTATACCAAATAATACATTGAAGAACAACAATTTGCACCATCAAACTACCAGAAAATTCACCATACATTCCTTTAAGCAAAGGAATACCCATAACAAGAGTATTTGGAAGAGTAGAAAGTGAAAATAGTGTAATAGTCCATTCTAAACAACCCCTTTTGCTTAACTTAGTCCAAAGCGCTAATACTACAAGAACTATGATCTTTTGTAGAGTATCAGCAGCTATGAAACGAAAGTTCATAGAATATGGGTCATTAGAAGATATAAAGTGAAAAGAAAGAAGAGGGACTGCAAAAAGAGCAACAAAACGATTGATTCCTGAACATTGATCAGGAGTAAAGATTTTCCACCATTTTACAGACCCATAAGCCAAAATCATAGCCACGTATAGCGGCACCATTGCCGTCATTACATGGTAAAAATCTGTTAACGTGATCATTTTTGCTTCGCAGGTGGCTACTTAATTTCTTGAATATCTAAAAACCAAAGATTATTGCAAATCTTGAACTTGAAGAGTAGAGAAGTGGGTCTGCTGCTGGAGATGGTGGTGAGGGTCGTGGTGGTGGTGGTGGTGGATGTGATGATAAGAATGGGAAAGCATGTGGGTTTTGGGGGAAAGTGAGAGAGTAATAAACAGAATTTCTTTTTGCACTATACAGAATACAGCTTTGCTTTGAGAGTTGCGAGCAAGCTTGCACACTTGCAGTCCCCAAAGCAAAGGGGTTTGCTTGCTTTTAAATTTTTTTTAGTTTTCTTTGTTTTTTCCTTTTTGTTTTGAGTTGTGTTTGGACATGGGTGGTATTTATGTAATTTTGATGAAATTTTGGCATAGAAAGTTGGTGTGGTGGTGGCTCTATCTTCTAAGGATTAATAACATGGCATGGGGGTACAAAGTGTAGCAGGAAAAGCATTTTGGTTGGAAGGTGAGGGATGTTGTCTATGTGGGTACTTGTTTGGGAGATCCTTTTAAGCATAGCAAAAAGCTATCTTCCTTCTTTTTTCATTCCTTTATTCTAGGATTCGCTTTTGCCTCCTAAGCCTGTAATTGAGATACTCGATATTCATTCAACATGTATTGTCGTTGGTGTTGAGCATGCTTCTTTCTTCTAACCTACAATATCATGGTTCAAACTCTAACTATAATCCCCTCCCTTTTTTAGGAAAAAAAAAATCATTAAATGTATTTTTGACTCACAATCTATCAAGAAATAAACTATTGCTTACTTGAAGGTGAATCTTTAATTTGTTTATTGAATTTCAACTTGATTATACGTAATTTTTCAAGTTTAACTCAATTTCACAGTCATTACAAATTTAACTCAAGGTTTTCAACTAGCTCTAATATAAATAAAAAATTGTAAAATCTATTCTCAATCAAATCTTCATTTGTAAACTTTAAAAGGTTTTAGATTAAAGTTTTTCACATATCAAGTTCTTGGAATAAAGAGGTTTAAAGCTCATATCATGTTTGAATCCCCTAACTATACTGTATAATAAGCGCTTTATTCCACTCGGAGTTCCTCAACTTACGGGTAATCACTTTACTATCTCTCATCTTTATTTTATCTCTTAAAATTATTTTAACTCACTATGAAAAAAACGGCATTTTGCGACCGATGAATCGGTCGCAAAACACAAGAAATCGGTCGCTAAGTTTGCTTAGCGACCGATTTGCGACCGACGACAATCGGTTGCGAAAATGCTCGTCGCAAAATATTTTGCGACCGATTAGTTCATCGGTTGCAAATTAGCGACCGATAAATCGGTCGCAGAAATAAAAAATCGGTCGCAAAATTTGGTTGTATTTTCCTTTCGAAACGCTGTCACAAATTGATCGTAGAAACAGTCTGTCTCAATTATGAAATGCGGTCGCAAGTCGGTCGCAAATTTTAAATTTAAAGTTATTATTTTTGGTAGTAGTTCGGTCGCAAATCCGTCACAAAATACAAAAAAAAAAGAAATAAATAAATATTATTATAAAACCATAATTTTTTTACACCTGTGAAAATTGTCATATATAATTATAAAACCATAATTTTTTTTACACCTGTGAAAAATTGTCGAATATATATATATATTAAATATATATATATCACAAAACGCAATTCAAAAATAAATATAAAAATGTAATTGTTAATGTAGTTTAATTATTGAAACAATTCAAAAAAACATATATATATCACAAACGCAATTCAAAAATAATATAAAAATGTAATTGTTAATGTAGTTAATGTATTGAACAAAATTTCAAAAAACAATTGGAAAACTAAAAAGGTCCAAAATCAAATCTACGCAGTTGGTCATCTACGACGTCGTTTTAACTCTGCGACGTCGTTTTACTTTGCAACAAAATTGCGACCGATTTGTGACTGTCCACGTCGGTCGCAAATAATCGGTCGCAAATCGTTTGCAGAATTCGGTCCTTAATTTGAAGCGCGCAATTCTGCGACGGAATAATACATGGTCGCAAAATCGGTCGCAAATTCGTCGTACACTAGTCGCAAACTGGAAAACAAACTCGCGGGGATTTTTAGCGTTACAATTAGCGACTGTTTGTCCATAGGTCGCAAATCGGTCGGTCGCAAAATGGCAATTTTTTCGTAGTGACTTAGCAATTTGTAACAATAAAATGACTCTGACCATTTTTCGATGAATAGTTGATCAAAAACCTGACATGTCAGTAAAGTAATGGCCATGTAAACAATTAATTGTCATAAATTATTTTCTCTCTCATCACCCTAAACAATTAATTGGTTATCTTATTTCTTCTCTCATGTCGTTTCTTACTTGTTCTCTCTCTCTCTCTTTCCTCTCTCCTACCCTATATCTTCTTCAACCTTTAACCAGAAACCCAGTTAAGTGAAGAAAAGAAGTCCCTCCAAATCATATACTTCGTTTGCTTGAGAATCTAGCTTGAACATAGGCGTGATGCATGGCACAATTTGTAGATGCGAGTAAGAGGCTATGTTGAAAACTATAAGGATTGAGAATAATCCGGGTCAGAGGTTCTTGGGTTGCAGCAATTATAGGGTAGGGTATTTTCTTTTTTTTTTTTTTTTTCAATCTATTACCCGGTGCCCTCAATTTGGACCTATATTTGGTAGTTTATTTGCTTATTAGGGGGTTTTTTCTAAAGTTTATTATAGACATTTGTTTATTGTCACTTCTTAGAATGAATGGATCCAGCTGTCCATCCTCGTTCTACACATGTGATAGTGGAGTTACTAAGGAAGCTGGATAGGGTGGAGAAAGAGAACTTGAAGGCAAAGAGGAAGACTAAATTGAAGGTGTTATGTGTTAGGTTTTATGGTCTTGTTGGGGTAGTTTAGAGTTAGTTTGTTATTTTGGCAAGAAATTGCTTTGTTAAATTGTCAGGTCGCAATAGTCACAGTTATGGTATTTTAATGGAACTTTTTTTATGTACTTTCCTTTAATCCACGTATGACTAAGATGGAACCTGCTATGCAATATATTTTGTGATGACTTTTGATCTACTGTATCCATTTCATCTCCTATCTTGCATTCATCAATAACCACTGAATATGAACTTTCACTTTAAAAAGAACAACACAGTACCATAAATGAGGAAATTTCTTTATTTGCATTGGAAAAAAAAATGGAATTGTTCTAGTTCTATGAGCAATACATTTTTATATAGAGTAAAGTGTGAATAACTTTCCTTATTAAACTGTTACAAACAGTTTCCTAAAAACTTGATTGATAATCACTAAAGCAAACATGCATCTAAAGTGTTTTCTTTCAACCCTGAAGCAAACAAATTAGTACCCAAAAAATGTGCAAAAATTCCTAATTGGCTATCCTTCTAGGTACAAAAACAAAATATGCACAAGTTCTTCATTCCTTCTTCTTGGAACTCCTTTGTCTCACTTGAATCTTTGATGCATTCTTCTATTGAGTAGGTGCTTCACTTGGTTCTGCATTGACTTCACTGACACAGATGATATGTGTACCATTATTATCTTGCATTGGGAACACATTTGTATAGGTGGCCCCATTTCCAGCATCTTGCACTTGACTGCTTTCCTACAAATTGAATTACAAACCATTTCATCTAATGCAAATGCAAAAATGGTACACAATTCGCTTAACTTACATCCATGAACTATTGAACCATGACTCCTCCTTGTGGCACATGATTAGTTGGCCTTCAATTAGAATTAGGGATTGGTGCATTTGTAGAGGTATCAACATTCTTTCCCTTCCTTTTTATGCATGTCTGCATTTTTAAATGAAAAACCATAGCGTTAGTTACATTCATGAGATAAATTATAGGACTTTTTAAAACTTTCACTTTTACCTTATTACTAGAGGTTATATTTTTCCCTCCCTTTGCATGGTGCCTTTTGTTATGCCCTAAAACCCTACACAAGCTGCATTTCATACCTTTCCTGTTTTAGGTAATTTAGCCTTTGTTGATATAATCTTAATTTCTCCTGCCTTCTGTTTTCTACCCGTCTTCTTCTTAATAGGACTGAGTGGAACAAATGAAGCACTTTGGGTTTCCTTTTGGCCATATGTCAAGGCCATTAATGGGATTTATGAAATGGCTATACACTTTCATATATATCTCAACATTGTATGCCTCATGCACATATAACTCAGGCTGCTCATTATTGCCAACAATGCATGCAATTGCTTGACCACAAGGGATTCCTTTTAAATACCACCTCCTCTAATTATAATTTCTTTCCACTAGATGTACCATATATTGTCCTTTAGGCTCAACAACTTGAACCTTAGGACCTCCAATAAAATTAGGCCAATACATATGATAAAAATCTTTATTATCATTAAGTTTGTGTTGAATTTTAGGACAAAGCCCACCTTGTTAATCCTGCATTTGTTGTCTCTTCCTATGCAGCCTTTTCATTAGCTTAGTTCTAATGATCTCTAACATGGTTAGGATTGCATGTTCTCTAGCATCTAGGATATACTTATTCATGACTCATATAAATTATTGGTGAGCATGTCACACTTTACCCTAGTTTTGAAGTAAGCTCTAAAACAATTCATGCAAGGTCACTATCTCCACACTCCCTAGCCTCTACACTTTTTTTTCATCTCCTTCAAACAATTATTTAACTTAGCTTCATAACTAGCCTTTATTATATTCCATGAAAAATCTTTCATTTCTTTCCCTGTGAAATGAACCCTCTAGTTTATATAAAGATGCTTAACATATGGTCTATGTTCTACCTCAGACCACATCCTATTAACTATATTAATAAGGCCATATTAAAAAGAAAAAACACAAAACAATCAAAACACATAACCAATCAAAACATAAAACAAAAATGGTTAAATGATAAAAATTTAAAAGCCATTTATGTACATTTACCTTATGTCTTTCAATCATAAGGCAAAACTGATGATCATTATTCAGCTCCAAGTATTATTGTAAATGCTCCATGAACCAACCCCATGTGTTTGCGCACTCATTTCTTACAACAGTTTTTGCAAATAGAAAAATACGGTCAATTATATTGCAGTAGTTGATAGAAATTGCCTTTCATATGTACCCTTTAACCAACAAAGATCTGCTCCTATAAGCTTCCTACAATGATCCTTAATTGCAATTTTCAAAGCATTCAAACATATTTACACCCCCTCAAATACCCCCTTTACCACTTTAAAATGCATTGAAGAACCAGGGTTTGTTTTAATTATGTCAGCCCTATAGTCATGTAACTTAGAATACTGCAAGCTCTCATCACAATGCAAAACAACTAGAGCCTTCTCTCTTACCCTCCATGCTTTCGTTCTTCCTATTGTGTAACCCTGATCTCTTTTCACCTTTTCTATAAAACAAGATCCCAACCTAGATTAGCCCTAAAGTCCTTTAAGTACATGTTAGCTAACCTGGTTGTTGTTAAATGAAAATTTTTAAACACTTCAGCATATGTGTGTTTACACTTAGGTAATCTTCTACTTTTTGATATTGTTTACTTGAATAGCCCCCGCATCCCTTGTTAAACATCTAGCTTGCATTTTCACCCTATAATTTTTATAGAAATAAATATGAAATCTATGCTTTATACCATGCCTTCTATAAACCTCTTTAAATTCACCCTTATCCCTAAAAAGCATACCTACTTTAAATGGTTCCATATTCCTAGATGCCACAAAGGTAAGAAATCTTTCCCTATTCTCATCTTCTAATTTTGACTATATTATTAACTCATCAGAAGGTGCATACTCGAACTCATCATTATCATTGATATTTGTTGATTAGTGTTTCCCTCACTCATCCTTACTCCATTCCCTTTTGGCCTTCCCCCTAAGTTAACATATGATGCCTATCTCTCCTCTGCAACTAATGTGAAGTCCTTATCCCCTTCTGTAACACTTTTTCCCGGTCCACCCGTAAACCCGAATGAACCGAGTCGAGATGCTACAAACTGGTTGACTGTATGGTCTGACATGCTGAAAACATACTCCTTATCCCCTTCTGAACACTTTCCCGGTCCACCCGTAAACCCGAATGAACCGAGTCGAGATGCTACAAATACTGGTTGAACTTGTATGGCTGACATCTGCTAAAACATACTGTATTGAATATAATAACAATGCTGTACTGTTTACAAAAATAATGTAATTTACAAAACATGATTACAGTTTACAAAATGAAATGGGCCCAACTGTGTGCCCTGTACATGCCATAAAAAAGAAAAAAAAACAAAATGGAGTTCCTACCCCTGAAGACCGAGTCTTCTCAGATGAACTGCAGCAGTTTAACGCGACTCTCTATGGACCAGTCCCTCAAACCCTGCGAGTTAATACAGGTAACTCGCTGAGGCAAAATAAGCCCAGTTGGATATCCTCAACAATAAAGCACATACATGGATAGAAATAAGCATGTAAATGCATATGGATAATTAAACATATAAGCACATATAGCATGATCCTTTCATTATACCTTGATTATCTTTCGTACTGGTTATAATACTGTATGATTCATGAAATGTTATGTCAAGATATCTGAATGGCTCCATAAGGTTATAGTGAAACCGAAGTGATAAGAAAAATGTGGGTCCCGAATATATATGGCACAACCCAAGAGGGGAGTGAATTGGGTTTTCTAAAAACTGAAATAAATTTTAGAAATTCTAAACAAGGATTAGAATTCTAAGCACAGCGGAAAGTTTTTAACCATAATCCACTCAACGGCCTGTAGACCGGAGTTTCCAAACTGTATGGAGCGCAGATCTGCTATTCTATGTCGCGGACCATAGCCTTATCCTACATGGTTTCTAACAACCTCAATGGAGCTCATATTAGCATATCCAACAATATAACACAATATCAATAAATGGTTTTTACAAACTTCATAGTTCATCCTATTGATTTGAATTTCACACACCATAATAAATGCTTACATGTTGTTTTAATTCCATGTTTCTTAATGTTGTAATTTTTTGTTGTAAAATGATGGGAATGCATGCATGTTGAGCAAAGGAATGTGATTGGCATAGCAAATGAAAAAAGCAAAACGAGCAAAGCATCAGTCGCGAGCGCGACATTCCAAGTCGCGAGTGCGAGATGCTTCCCAGAGAGAAGTCGCGAGCGCGTCTTCAAACCTCGCGAGCGCAAGAAATGCATTTGAGAGTCAGAGGGTTTTCTGGCTCAAGTCGCGACCGCGCAGCACACGTCGCGAGCGCGCTTGTGTGATTCGCGAGCGCGAGATGCGCACACTGAGAGTCAGAGAGCTTCTGGCCAAAGTTGCGAGCAACACAAGTCGCGAGCGCGAGATGAAGTCGCGAGCGCGCTTGTGGAGTTCGCGAGCTCGAAATGCGCAAACTGAGAGTCAAAGAGCTTCTAGCCAAGGTCGCGACCGCGCATGTGGAATTCGCGAGTGCGACACGCTGCCCAGCCTGCGCGGCGCGCGCGACGTGATTCCAGACTATACAGTCTGTAGTCTTTTGGCCATAACCAATATACAACTTCAAATTGAATGATTCAAAAGCCCATGTAAAGCTAACACATAGAGAAACAAATAACTCTTCTATGACAATTCCTAATTCCATCATTTTCTGGGGTCAAAATCAAGATGAAGTTGCTGGTGAAATTTCCAGCAAAGCTCTGTTTCATAAAGTCATTCCATCCCCTGTTTTCACAACATATCCAATCTTCTCACTCAACAACAAGCACCATATCATCTCACTAGCAACACACCACACAATTTACATGCAAAGAATCTAGTAAACAACATGAGATATCAAACCTTGATGTCAAAAAGCTTGACCTCTGTTTTAGCTTCTCTTTTCAAAGCTGGGGCTCTGTTTTAACTTCTCTTTTCTGCTACCTTTGAACTTTCTTCTCCTATACACAAGAATTCTCATAACTCATCTCCAATATAACTCAAATAAAGAGTGGATAACATATAACTTCAAGGAATTCTACTTACTTGGAGGTGACTTAGTGCTTAACGTGCATGAAACTTGCAAGGA